GCGCTGATGATCCTCACCGTCTGGACCATCTCCATTTTCATCTCCATGCCCCCTCTGTTCTGGAGGAGCCACCGCCGCCTAAGCCCTCCCCCTAGCCAGTGCACCATCCAGCACGACCATGTTATCTACACCATTTACTCCACGCTGGGTGCGTTTTATATCCCCTTGACTTTAATACTGATTCTCTATTACCGGATTTACCACGCGGCCAAGAGCCTTTACCAGAAAAGGGGATCGAGTCGGCACTTAAGCAACAGAAGCACAGATAGCCAGAATTCTTTTGCAAATTGTAAACTTACACAGACTTTCTGTGTGTCTGACTTCTCCACTTCAGACCCTACCACAGAGTTTGAAAAGTTCCATGCCTCCATCAGGATCCCACCCTTCGACAATGATCTAGATCACCCAGGAGAACGCCAGCAGATTTCTAGCACCAGGGAACGGAAGGCAGCGCGCATCCTGGGGTTGATTCTGAGCGCATTCATTTTGTCCTGGCTGCCATTTTTCATCAAAGAGTTGATTGTGGGTCTGAGCATCTACACCGTGTCCTCGGAAGTGGCCGATTTTCTGACGTGGCTCGGTTATGTCAATTCTCTGATCAACCCTCTGCTCTATACGAGTTTTAATGAAGATTTTAAGCTGGCTTTTAAAAAGCTCATTAGATGCCGAGAGCATGCTTAGACTGTCAAAAGCTAAAAGGCACGACTTTTACCAGAGCCTCATGAGTGGATGGGGGTAAGGGGTGCAACTTATTAATTCTTGGACATACTTGGTTCAGGAGAGTTTGTAAGTATGTGTGGTCTTGTTTTCTTGTTTGTTTGTTTGTTTGTTTGTTTTGTTCTGTTTTGTTTGAGGATTGTTATTTGGCGTGCTGTTTTCTACCTCTGGTCTTATCTGTGATACATAATTTCAAATAAACATTATCATACAAAAACATAAATTTTGTAGAAGTAATAATAAGGTGAAATAGTAAATACTTTTTATGGGCTTGGTTTTTCCTAGTCATTTCAGTTACCCTGCAATTAAAGAATGCCAAAAATATCTTTATTTGCAGAATTTCTTATTACTTATAAATTAAATACCTGATAATGCCCTCTATGGCATTAAATCTGAGATTATGGCTCTATCTGCATACATATTCCAGTGGGAATTGCATGACTGCGTAAAGAATTCAAAGAAAGTGATGTGCTGTCATCTACTGCTTGCAGACCTGAGCTAAAGTCGTTTACTGTAGCACTGTGACTACATAGCCTATTCCTTTCAGGTAAAAATAGTACAGCTGGCTTGTCCTTTTTAGTTCATGATTAAATACACTTCCTCGTTTTCTAAAATGGAAATACCTGGAATAAATGCACTGGCAGTTTTCTGTCTTTTACTATGAATATAAAACATAAAGCAAATAAGAAATCATCTAAATCTACTTTGGTCAGTGTGTTGCGATATTACCTGATAGACACATTGGGTCTCCTCCAATTCTAAAATCTATCCCAGCTAAGCCTCCTATATACACTTTCACTGTAGCAGGGCTAAGGTGGGAGTACATGTCAAATTTGGAAAACTTTTTAAGAAGCTTAATGAGGTGCAGTGATCAAATGACAGAATATATTATCTGAAGAACTTCGTTGGAGAATATTACTCATTAAATTAACAGTTGCGGCTGGGCATGGTGGCTCATTCCTGTAATCCCAGCACTTCAGAAGGCTGAGGCAGGTGCATCACCTGAGGTCAGGAGTTCGAGACCAACCTGGCCAACATGGTGAAACCCCATATCTGCTAAAAATGCAAAAATTAGCTAGGCATGGTAGCACGTGCCTGTAATCCCAGCTACTCGGGAGGCTGAGGCAGGAGAATCACTTGAACCTGGGAGGCAGAGGTTGCACTGAGCAGAGATCGTGCCACTGCACTCCAGCCTGGGCAACAGAGTGAGACCCTGTCTCAAAAAAAAAAAAAAAATTACCAGTTGGGCTCTTGGAGAAAAAAAGTAAAAGTTGAAAATCTGTGTTTACACTAAAGGCCACTCATCAGGATATGAGAATGAAATTGTATCTCCCAGAATAACTGTGGCTTCCGTGCCAGACTCTACCCTGGGACCAGGAGGCTGCAGATGGGACCTGAGGCCATGGGTGTGGCCTGAGAAGGAGTGACTGCTATAGTCACATGGAGGAGTACACCATTACAAAGTCAAGAGTGAGGGCAGGAGGACTGAAAGTTTGTACATTCTTGCACCTACTCCTAAGTAGGTGACCGTTCTCAACCTCTGCTCCTAGTTCTCTCATCCACAGCCTCTCCCCATCGCTTCACTCTTCTTTGTAGGGAGAAGACATTGATTTGCCTCCTTTCCACCTCTGTGTTTTTAGTCCTTCAATCAATCCCTTCTCAACCTTACTAGAATCTTACTTCTTACACCTAACCTCCCTCTGCACATTCCTTTCTCCCTCTCCATCTCAACACTTTTCCTCCCCACTCCTCTTTAATTTCATCTATTACTTTACTCAAATCTCTTGGACACAAAAATCAACTTCCTCTGGCCCTACTTCCCCATCAAGATCCTACTTCATCTCTCCCTTAACTCTCTCACCTGGGTTTCTCCAATCATTAATCCACTCATTCTGCATCCACTTCTCACCTTCCACTGACTTTTCTATCCTTTTCCATCTGAGTATACCCTAGTTCTCCCAAACTTATCTCCCAAAGGTCACTGGAGACTTGCCAGTAGCCCTTCTCTGCATCTCTACCTGTCATTCTCTCATCAGTTACAACAGCTAACCATCCCTTTCATGTTTAAGCCCATACCTTCCAGGACATTTTGCTCTCCTAGTTATCCAACTACCTCCTTGTCTCTTTATTCTTTGTCTCCTTTCCTTCCCCCTGGGGCTTTGTCCTCAGCAATCACCTCCTATAGCTCTATATTCCATCCCAACTTTGGCCATTTCAACTGTTAGTTTCATGCCTGTAGCTCCCAAATTTGTGACTTTAGTCCTGATCTTTCTCTTAAACTGCAGACCCATAAGTTACATCTGGTGAGCCTCTCCCTATGAATATTTCTTTGGTACCTCAAACACAGCCTTCCTATACTTAACTCAGGATAATTTCCCCACACTCAAGCCTTCTCCTCTTTCTACCTTCTCAGTCTCAGATAACAGAATTACCATGCTTTTTATCATTCCTATTAGATGAATGTTATTCTCTCTCTTTGCCTCAGGTCTCCAACATCCAGATAGTCCTGAAGTCTTGTCCATTTACCTCTACAGAAACATGTGTTTATGCCACCTCACTCTCCAATAAGTTGGTCCTCTCCCCTAGATCAAATGTTATTTGATCCACCTGCCTCTGGATTCTCCCACCTGCAACTCGGCCCCCGCACATCTCCCAGTGTGAGTTTCTCACTGAGGCATCTCCAGACTAGCCGCATTAGCGGCACCTGAGAACTTGTTAGAAATGCAAAAGCAAGGGCCCCATTCAAAACCTACTGAATCAAAAATTAAGAGTGGAGCCCATTAATCTCTGTTTTAATAAGCCTTCCAGGAGATTCTGATACAAGCTGAAGTTTGAGTCACTATTTTAGAGCATACAGTAGATTTTTAATTGCATTGTTCAAAATCCTTTACTCTTTCCCTAGCAATATAAAATAAATTAATAGTCCATAGTATAGCATTCAAGGCCTCTTACTTTGTGACCCCAAACTATCTTTGCAGAGTTATATCTCACCACTTCTTTTCACCTACTTCACGCTCCAGAAAAATGTGAGTATTACCTGTGCTTTCTAAACTCCCCTAACATTTGATCCCATTGCTTTAGAAACCTGACCTCCATGGCTTCACATCTTTCTTCCACCAATGCTTCATATGTAGCTCAAATGCAATCTCTTCTAAAAAGTCTTCCTGAGATACTTCTTCCTTCCCTGTCCCTATGGAAGTCCTCTCTCCCAGCTCTATGCTCCCATATAACTTCACTTGTATCTCTAATATTATATGCATCCTATCTTCTAGCACATTTGTTTGTGTATTTGTGCTGTCTTCTCTAGTATATTGTGAGCTCCTTGAGGGCAGGGACTGTGTCTGTTTCCTCTCTGTATCTCTAGGGACTCCTACAGTGTTTTACACACAGTTGGCACTCAATGTCTGTTAATGTGAATGGAATTAAGTCCCTGGAGGAGAAAATGTAAATGTGACATCTTTTCTCCGTGAGAAAACAAAACTTCCAAAATTCCATGGTTCTATACTGACCCTTTTTTTTTCCAAAGCTTACCCTGACATTCCAGGTTTGTTTCGAAAAATTCTGGGAAAAAATTTTATATAGAAAGAAAATAAATTTCTCATTGAATATAAGTGAATATCCTTTATTAATTAGGATTCCAGATAAGCTGTTCTCAAAAGAGAGAAAGGAAAAAGGAGAGATTCGATACAAGGGGACAAAGAACAATATCTGCCACAAGGGGCTATTGGTTTCTGTATGAGCAACTCAAATATTACTGGGAAAGTCACATGGCTGCCCAGCTAGTGGTTATTTATGCACAAGGATGTTGGCATCTAAATTACAGGTGATTTTACCAAGATTGTGCCTACGCTCAAAATTAGTATTTATTATGACTACAATATCTAGAAAGTATATGAGCAACTCACACTGCTTTCCCATTATCCTCCAGATACTATCTTTGAAAATTCTTGGCAATTATAAAAGTTTTAAAGTTTTAAGAGTCTAAGTAAATAAAATCAAAAAGCAGATGCATAATAATTTTTACTTGCTTATTTTCATTAACTCATTTCCTAATTATGAGGTAAGTCCTAATTAAATACATTTATCTCACAGCTGCCTCTGCCCTTAGCAAAGAAGTTGCATATATTTCCTGGTATAAACCAAACCTGTTGAAAAATAATCTATTATTTGCTTCGCTTATTGAGTCAATAGTGCCAGCTGCCATTGACTACTGTTGTCCCCTTTAAATTAAAGCTTGAATGAAGTAATAGTACCTTTTATTAAGGTCAGTGTTTCTCATGCAAACATTAGTATGCTAAAAGTAAGTCCTAGGGATGGCATTTTGATTACCTCCATTAGAAATTAGGACTTCTTAGTTTTCCATTCTTGGTGAAAGAATTCTTGAATATAAGTCACTCCCTGGTAGACCTGACAGGTCCTTTAGTTACAACAGGTGGCAGTAAGAACCCCCATTAGCATTGCTACCATGGTCTGCTTTGGGTAACACTACAGGCCTCCTACACTTCTGGACTTCAGTTGTCAAACTCTGATAATTACTTTTGAGGTAAGTTCCTAAATAAATTCCAGCAACTGCACTGGCTTCCAGCACAACGCATTTTAGTTTCAACCATCACATTGGTCTTGGTCTACTAATGTGTGTGCTGCCTTAGCTTAGTTTGTAAGGTCTTCTACACACAACTTTTAACTCCATTATGCACAGCATTTGCAAAAGCAGTGATAGCATTGGAAAAATTAGTGAAAAGAAGCATATGACTATGACAAGAATACAAGTAAAGACAATTTTTAAGTAAAAGTGCTAAGAAAATGACAACCATTGCATATGAGAATGGGATCAAATCTTGCTCAATTTTCAAGGACTGCCACATGTAACAGGTGAAGACCACTGCACCTAAAGTATGGACAATAATTAAGGAGAAAAGAAGGAAAAGGGACTGTGTCTGTTTCCTCTCTGTATCTCTAGGGACCCCTACAGTGTTTTACACACAGTCAGCACTCAATGTCTGTTAATGTGAATGGAATTATAGAGATATAAAAGTGTCTGAGCACCACACAGTAGTTTTAAAAGGAGTTTGGGAATATGTGTAGGCATTTCAGTTGTCTCCATAGAGAATAGTAATGGCATTTTTGTGGTAGGATTCAGTAAGTCTAAATCCTGCAGTAGATAAACCAGTCCCACTCAATAAAGGATTGTCCCACCCAAAATACCAATATCACCACCTGCTGAGAAATTCACAAGTATCAGCATCAACATGGGATGCTCAGA